CACCCCAGGGCGAGACACTAGGTCTAAAATGCCCTTATCAAGCAAATCTTGCAACTGGTCCTTCAATTCTTTCAACTCTGGCGGGGCCATGCGGTATGGTGGAATAGAAATAGGCTGAGCACCCGGAGCTAAATCAATACAGAAGTCAATATCCGTGGAATAGAAATAGGCTGAGCACCCGGAGCCAAATCAATACAGAAGTCAATATCCCTGTCGGGTGGCATCCCCGACAAGTCTGCTAGAAATATCTCGGAAACTCACGAACAATTGGCACAGAATCCAAGGAAGGAACCTTCACTAGAATCACGAACATAAGCCAAATAAGCTAGACACCCCTTCTCGACCATATGCCGAGCCTTCACATAAGAGATAACCCTGCTGGTAGAATGACCATGAGTTCCTTTCCACTCTAATCGAGGCAACCCTGGCAAGGCACGGATATAGATCTCAGCCAACCGCTCCAAAGAATAGGTAGTCCCAACTGGAATGAAGTGTGCAGACTTAGTCAACCGGTCCACAATTACCCAAATAGTATCAAATTTCTTCAAAGTCTGTGGGAGCCCAACTACAAAGTCCATAGTGATACACTCCCATTTTACTCAGAAATCTCAAGCCTCTAAAGCAAACTGCTCGGCCTATGATGCTCATACCTCGCCTGTCGACAATTCAAGCACCGAGCTACAAACTCCACTATATCTTTCTTCATTCTCCTCCACCAATAGTGCTGCCTCAAGTCCATATACATCTTTGCAGCACCCGGATGAATGGAATACCACGAATTGTGGGCCTCTTCAAGAATCAACTCATGTAACCCATCCACATTGGGCACACAAATCCGACCCTGCATCCGCTTCACCCGTCATCTCCAATAGAAACCTCCTTGGAATCACCGTGCTAAACTGTATCCTCAAGGACAAAAAATGGGGGTCGTCATACTAACGCTCTTTGATGCGATCATATAAAGAATATTGAGAAACCACACAAGCTAGACCCTGATTGGGCTCCGAAGCAGCTAATCTTATGAGTTGATTGGCCAAGGCCTGAACATCTAATGCAAGCAATCTCTCACCAACAAGAATATATGCAAGGCTACTCATACTTACCACCTTTCTACTCAAGACATCGGCTACTACATTGGCCTTCCGGGGATGATACAAAATGGTAATATCATAGTCTTTTAACAACTACAACCATCTCAGCTACCTCAAATTTAGATCCTTTTGCTTGAACAAGTGTTGAAGACTTCGATGATCTGTAAATACCTCACAAGACACGTTGTAGAGATAATGCCTCTAAATCTTTAATACATGGATGATGGCTGCTAACTCTAAATCATAAACGAGGTAGTTCTTCTCATGGGGCTTCAACTGGAGTGAAGAGTAAGCAATCACTCTACCCTCTTGCATCAACACACACCCAATACTAATCCAAGAAACATCACAATACACTATATAAGAAATCGATGCTGAAGGCAAAACTAGAACTAGAGTTGTGGTCAAGGCAGTCTTGAGCTTTTGAAAGCTCTTCTCACACTCACCAGACCACCTGAATGGGGCACCCTTCTGGGTCAACCTCGTCAGAGGCCTAAAATAGACGAGAAACCCTCCCGAAGCGGTGATAATAACCGGCCAAGCCAAGAAAATTCCAAATCTCAGTAGGTGAAGACGGTCTGGGGCAACTCTAAACCACCTCAATCTTCCTCGGATCCACCTTGATCCCCTCACTGGACACCACGTGCCCCAAGAACGCTACCGAACTGAGCCAAAACTCACACTTAGAGAACCTAGCATAAAGTTTATCCTCCCTCAACTTCGGTAGTACAATCCTCAGATATTGTGCATGATCCTCCTGACTACGTGAGTACGCTGGGATATCATCAATAAATTCTATGACAAAAGAATCAAGATATGGATGGAATACACTGTTCATCAGATGCATGAATGCTACTAGGGTATTGGTCAATCCAAAAAACATCACAAGGAACTCGAAGTGACCAAGTGGGTCTTGAATGCCGTCTTCAAAATATTAGATTCCCGAATCTTCAACTAGTGATACCCAGACCTCAAATCAATCTTAGAGAACACTTGATCTCCCTGAAGCTGGTAAAATACGTCATCAATGTGCGGCAAATGATACTTGTTCTTAATCATATCTTTGTTCAACTGCCTATAGTCATTGAACATCCGCATATACCATCTTTCTTCTTTACAAACAAAGTCGGTGCACCCCAAAGCGACACATTACGCCTGATGAACCCCTTATCAAGGAGCTCCTGAGCTGCTCTTTCAATTCCTTCAATTCTACTGGTGCCATACGATACAGAGGGGTAAGATGGGCTAAGTGCGCGGCACCAAGTCAATACCAAAATTAATGTCCCTATCAGGTGGCATGCCCGGCAGGTCTACAGCAAATACATCCGGAAAGTCTCGCACTACCGGAACAGAATCAATAGTAGAGTATCAATACCATCATCCCTCACAAAAGTCAAATATGACAAACACCCCTTCCCAACCATCCATTGGGCCTTCAGATATGAAATCACCCTATTGAGAACATAATTCAGAGAACCTCTCCACTCGATCCTAGGTGACCTAGGCATCGCCAATGTCACGGACTTAGCGTGACAATCTAGAATAACATGATTTGGGGATAACCAATCCATGCCCAGAATCATGTCAAAATCAACCATACTAAGCAATTAGAGATCAACTCTCGTCTCCAATCCTCCAATATTCACCATACATGACAGATATACATGGTCCACAACAATGGAATCGCCCACCGGCGTAGATGCATGAACATGCGAAACTATGGACTCACTAGGCATATTCAAATAATGAGCAAAATAAGATGATACATATGAATAAGTTAAACCAAGGTCAAATAATATGGAATCATCTCTGTGGCACACTAAAACAATACTTGTGATCATTGTGTCTGAAGCAACAGCCTCTAGCATGGCAGGGAAAGCATAGCATCGAGCCTGACCGCCACATGATCGGCATCCCCCACTTTTTATATATTTATTGTATATAGAATTTTTCATAAAATCATATCTGAAACAATTATGCTTTTGGATGACAATAAATAAAGTATATAATAAAATAAACTACATGGTCAAATGATCCTAATGTTGGATTGTACTTTCCGCAACATGTTTTCACACATGGACAATTATATGTTGCACTTTCAAGGGGTATATCAATTTCATGAATAAAAATTTATTAATTATAACAACAATTGATGTGGTGAAAAATGAACATACACCCAGAAATATTGTCTATAAAGAGATATTAGATCTAATACAACAACATAACATATTATTATTTATAAATATCTAAAATTATAAACACTATATAACGAACTTACCTAAAGTCTTCATCTTTGCATGAAGTAAGTCAGTTTAAATTTAGCTATTGCATAATGTAGTAATACTGACTTTTCTATTTAAATTAATGTTGCATTTACCTCGACATCAGTTCCTATTATACATAATTCATTCTATATTCTATACACTTTCTTATTAACGGACACAGACTTCACGTGCAACGCACACATTCTAAAGCTAGTTCTTTAAAAAAATTATAATCATTAAGACGGGATGTAACCATAATGCACATATCCTAAAGACTAGTTTTAAAAATATTGTACTAATTAATTCAGAATACACGCGCATAAGCTAGTTTATGTATCTAAGCATCTTATAACATGTTTTCTTCCGTTAGAGAGTCATAATTTTTGGGGTGAAAATTATTTACCTCCCCCAAGTTTACTCTAAAAATCAAACTCATCCTCCAACTTTGAACAATTTTTATTTTTATCCTTTCATCCTACGAAATGTCTATTTTTACCCTTGATATTTTCAACTCTCTCTATATACCTTTTTATATTATTTAGATATTTTTTTGTTCAAGTATTTAACTATAAGTTAAAAATATTATATTTTAATATATAATTTAATCTAAGTTCACTAACATTATAAATAAAGTAATTATATTATGAATTTATTACAAAATATATTCCTATTATTATTATTATTATTAAAATTCATGTATGTCAGTGTGTGTGATTTTAAGTTCCACTATTTTTATTATTCTTTGTGTATATAAATTTTTGAGTTTTGATTTTTAATATTAGATTAAAGTTCATGGAAAGTGTAAATAGATATTTTTTGTTAATTTATTATAAATTTACTTCTATTTTACGCCCATTGTTTTCTTATTATCTGCATTGGATAATTTATAAAATTTTCACTCTCTTTTATTCTCAATTTTGTAAATAAATTGAGTTTTGATTGCTATTGATAAATTACTAATACGAGTAAATATTTATTGTAATTTTTTATTTTTCTCATTTATTTCGCTATTAAACATCATTATCTTATATGCTTGACTACTACTTCTCACATTTTTTGTTTCAATTTTTTTTAATTTGTCTATAGGTAAGTCGATAACATAAATTAAAATAAAAAATATCATTATATTAAAGAATAAAAATAAGAGATAAAATTATAGAGGGTAAAATAAGTATTTTATGAAGTCACATTTGATACAAGGAGTAGAATGATAATTGTTCAAAGTTGGAGGATCAGTTTGATATTTAAAACAAACTTGGGAGATATAACTAATTTTCACCCTAATTTTTTCTCATTGTTTAGAATCTAAATAGAGGTAAAAGACTAATATAACCATCAAAGGATGTGGTACAGTGGATGAGTCTGTTCCTCCCTTAACCACAAATCTCAAGTTCGAGCCCTGTGTATGAAAAAATCATTGGTAGGGAGTGCTACCCCCAAATGAACCATACCCAGCGTGAATTCGAATATAATCGGGCTCCAATGCGGATACCGAACACCAGATGAAACATAACAACACAAACAAACAAACAAACAAAAGAAGGAAAAGAAAGACCGTGCACGGGTAATTCACAGAGGAGGACCCGAACCGGCCTATTAATATATCAGTATACATATATAAACCCTTGCATCCAAATCGAAGCAATAGAGAAGAGGAGAAGCTCCAAAATTGCAGAATAGACAAATCTTTTTAATCAAAGCAACAGAGAAGCTACAATGATGACACAAAACACAGATCTTTTCAATCAAAGTAGTAGAGAAGCTGCAAAGATTGCACAAAAGGCAAATCTTTTCGAAGGCTAGCAGAAGAAAATTGTGTGTGCTTATTTTAAAGGTATATGTTTATCTCTATTTGTTCTCTGATTTTGTGTGTTTATTTTAAAAGAAAGATGGTGTCTTGGCTAGCTTATAGACACTTCCACTATTCCTATCAGATTTCTACCACCGTCTAACTCCGGCCGTCAAAGTTTAGGCAGATGGAGAGGTTTCTTTTCTTTTTTTCTTTGGCCTCTGCTGCACTGTTGGGTGCTATTCTGCTTGTGCTTAGTGTTCTATACTCTATGCGGGCTAACCACAATTTTAAATTGCAGGGAAGAGAGTTATGAAGCCGTTAAAGAATACAATGCAGATGGATGTTGATCTGGTTAGTTCTGATTTCGAGCTTATTGGAGTTTGTTGGTTGGACTTTGAGGTGAATTGTTCATAATGTTTTACACCTTGTCCAAAACTTTAGCAACAGATATATTATTGAACAAAAACCTCCTACTTTGGTTCCTTCTAGGATGTGGACTAAAGATATGTTGCCTTTAGGAATCAAATTCTACGGCTACTTTAGATTCTTTTTATTGCACTACTATGTTATAAAAAATTAGTGGTATACTTACTAATAAAACACAGTCACTAGATCAACATTAAAGTTCTGCTTTGAAAATCGACAAGGCGTTCTTTCTTTGCGATAACAATCTTAGCAGTAGTTGGTTGGTCCTTTCCACCAAATTAAGTCAAGCTGTGCTTGAAAACCTATTTGTTCTATATATATATATGTGTGTGTGTGTGTGAGAGTTTTGCATCTCCTGCTTGTGAACTACTAAAGCACTTTTCTTATGTAGGCCATGGGGATTCACTTAGCCAAGAAAATAATTGTGGATATCCTCAGCAGGTTACCTGTGCGGTCTCTTCTTCGATTCAAATGTGTTTCAAAATTTTGGAAGACATTAATTTCGGATCCTTACTTTAAGATGAAACATCTCATTCATGCCAGGAATAACCAAAATTCCCAAAAACTCCTCATTAGCCAATTCTACATTAATAAGAACCACAGTTTTTCCTTCTATTGTTCTTCTTTGTTGTGCAAAAGCTTGATTGTCCTTTAAATATTGAACAAGTGATCCTAAGAATCTTTTGTTGTTATGATGGATTGTCTATTGTTGGGGTTGGTGATTGTTCTAGTGAAGACTTCAAATTTTTTCTATGGAACCCCTCCACAAGAGAATCAATAGAATTGCCCGTTCCAGAATTACTACCACGAAAAGGATATTGTACTTGAGGATTGGGATATGACTCTACTAGTGATGACTATAAGATCCTTAAGATTGATAAGGAAGTACACAGTGAAATTCTAGCATTGAAAAGTGGTTCTTGGGAAACAATTCATAGACATCCTCCTGACATCTCATTTGTGGGGTGGGGTACCGAGTCTTTGTCATTTTTACATGGTGCATTTCATTGGCTTGGTAAGTCGTTAAATTATTCTGTGGTTTCATTTAGTACTTCAAACAAGGTGTATGGAGAGATACCATTGCCAGAGCAAATGTGCTTGATTTGCGACGTGGATGAGATGGAATATGGCGTTTCAGTATTGAGAGGAATGCTTTGTTGTTATTCTACTTCTTTTATTCTTGGGAAGGATGGCACTTTTAAGTTGTGGGTATTGAAAGACTATGGTGTCAAGGAATCTTGGTATCAGATGGCTATCATAACATGTACCGGTCTGTCTCAATGTAGACCAAAATATTGGATTGCGGAGCATGAATTGCTACTCTTTTCTAGATATGGGGGAGATAGTGGTTTTGTATTTGGGACATCCAACGAACCATTTGGATTACAACCTCGAATCGAAGCCTTTCGTGAAGGATTTGTATATACAGATAGCTTGATCTTTCCAAGATTATCTACTTAATATTTGCTTATGTATGATGGAGGCACTTTGTTTTATTATGTTGTAATGATGTTACAACCTCTTATTCTTATAAAGTTTTTTTTGTTGCGCGCCAATTGTTGCTTCCTAAATATATTTAACAAAGTTGTTAGCTTGCTTTAATCTTTTCAGAGGGGGTCTTTTGCCTATTATTGCTTGTATATATATAAAGTTGGAATTGACAAGCTGATGTGGCATACCTATTTGCGCAGAAAACCTAATTATCTATTTTGTCAATTTTTTGACTTTTATCCTATTTTTTACTACTTTCTGCTATTTCTAAAAAAATCCAAAAGTCACCACCTCATGCGACTATTAAGAGAGCAGTTATGGTATTCTTACAAGTTACAATTCCAAACAAAAGTAACGCTCTAAGTCCTACAAAAAGCAATCACTTTTGTACCAAAATTGAAGAAATCCTCAATTAATGGCCCTAAGAAATCCAATCAGTTTCTCAAAAATTCTTCAGAAACTGCCATTGATCATGTTTGTACCAAGACAATAAAGAAATCCTCAAATTTGTTTGTTCTACATTGTATGATTCTGTCTTTGATATAATTCTCTCCCTCTTACATCTATGTTACTAGACTTACTCTGCAAAAGGTTTTTGTAGCTTCTGTGCTTCTCGATCGGTTCTGAAGATCAAAGATGCTATATATGGTGAGGCTCAACAATTTCCAGTACATCTGATCTTCTTTTTTCAATATTTTTTTTGGCTTTTATCCAAGTCTTATTGATAACAAATTAGATTTCAAAATATAAAATCGTGATTCCCGTTCCTGTATCACAGAAATCCAGTAAAGCATAAACGAATATTTCATTATAGGGTTCAAATAGATATTCTAACAATTAAATTCTTCATAGGGTTCAATATTAATTCTATATTTTTCCCCAATTCCGAAATTACACAGATTGAGTTGCACAAAAATAGACTCATATGGTCATGTATAGTGCGTTTTTAAATTTTCTTGTTCCTTTTTCACATTTCTTTCTTTTGATTTCAATTTTTTTTAGACATGTACATGAAAATTGACTCTGATTTAAGGGAGCATTCTATTAATTAAATAGTTTTCAAGATAAATTTATTCCTTTTAATATATAAGAGAACAACCGTTTTATCTATTTCCATACTTTCTTATCGTTCTTCACTTGATACCTTCTTACATAATTTGATTGGGATATACTTTGAGTTTGTATGAATAGATATTATGACTGAAAGTACAAGTGGTAAATTGATCTTGCCATAGTTACTAATTTACTTAGTTAATTACTTCTTGATGGTTTGGTTTGTTCTTCTGTTAGTTCAGTGTAAGAATGTCCAAGAATTATAAGGCTGACGTGTATTTATAAATGAGAAGTATAATTGCATTCACATATACTCTCTCTCCCTCATTCAGATTTTCATATTCTCAGATTCTTGGTTTCGGTCATATCTCTCTCTTTTATGCTAATTTTCATATTCTTGCTATGAGATTTTTATAAGTTAATGTTTTGTATTTAAAAATATTTAATTTCTTATTCTCTTTTTGTATAGGACAAGAAACTCTTTGAAAATACAAAGTAGGAGATGTTTTCAGCAATACTTTATATGACATCTTTTAATTGGACCATGTGATTTCCTTTGGCCATGGTGTAAACATATAGCAACATGATATATTTATTTGATCGTGTAGCATGGGATGATGAGTTACAGGATTGCAAATCATACTTGTGGCTTTTTATGAATTGTCAAACCAAGGGTCTTTCTATAAATTGTCAAGTGTGCAGTAATACACTGTCACAGATTCTCACTGGATTTGGATGCCTTTTCGTTGGATAAAAAACATTTTACATTCTTAACATTACTTTATTGATGATCAATTTTAATAGAAAATTCTGGAATAGTCTCATTGTGCTAGAATCTTAAGTGATAGTAATTTTTAAACTACGGGGACAAGAAGATTTAAAAAATGGCGTCTTGAAACAAGACAACGGGTAAGTTGAACAAGAAAATTCTATTTAAATTTGTATTGAACTGAAGTGGTGTATTAATTTTTTCTCTTTATACTTTAACATTCTTCTCTTTTCTCGCCCAGGTGAACTTTCAGGCATTGTTGTCTCTTCGTTTTCTACCCTTTTGCTTTTGTGGGTCTTGTACAAAAGAAAATGCTGAACATTTTAATTGGTGGAAATGATCTTATGAAACAGCAGAATACTTTTAGGATGTTATTTTAATTTTGAAGGAAAAAGGTTTCTTCCTGTATTTAGAGAAGTGATTTTAGTTTTTTCTTACTAAATAACGGGTACTAACAGGTGAGAAAAGTTTATCAAAACGAGAAGACAAAGGTTAGAAAAAAAAAAGGGAAGAAAATGAGAATAAAAAAATATAGTACATTAGTACTCCTTCCGCTCCAATTTATGTGAACATATTTGATTGGACACGGAATTTAAGAAAAAATGAATACTTTTGGAATTTGTGGTCCTAAACAAGTCAAAAAAGGGTCCAGAGTATTTGTGTGGCTATAAAAACTTCTCATTAAGGACACAATAGTAAGTTTAAGGAGTCCATTACTCAAATGGTCACTCAACTATCCCAAATTATCTCCTAAAGTAACTTTTCTTTTGTTTGTAACAACAAATTTACTAAATTATGCCTATAGCACTCAGAAGGTCACTCAACTAGATTTTACAAATTTTGGATTGCCAAATACCTATTTTACCCTCTATATTATAAACATTTATTTTCTTTTTATTTTTTTTAAAACTTTTTAATATTATGAATTTTCCCTTTTAAATTTATATTATGAACTTACCTATAGAATAAATAAATTGTATTTATAAATTAAAAAAATAAAAAGCATTTAAGCGTATATAATACTGGAATAACAAAATAATGAGCACAGTAAAAAATTAATTAGAATAATTTGTTCGTAATAATAATTTTAGTATTAACAACAAAAATTTAAAAATTTATTTACACAATTCAGAATGAAAGAAAATAAAGGTTGTAAAATATATATTCCATGCACGTAATATAAAAATAATTATTTGAATAAAGGTATTTTTATAATATGCATTATATATTCTTGAAAATTATGTTCAATTATATTATTGTGTTTCTATCAACTTTCCAACGACACAAAGTTATATCACCGTAAAGCAAGGGGACTATCTATATAGGGTAAAATATGCTATTTTAAGTCATTGGATAAGAGGGTGACACGTGGAACCGAAGGCAGGGGATAGCTAAGACCGAAGACAACTGTTTCATTTGTTACCAAAAGGAATAATGCTCATATAGATGAAATAAATATCCGCCACCCGGTAGAATTTAATGAATAATATTCCACAAGCTTTAATATAAATGAGCATAATTTTCAAGAATATATAATATATATTATAAAAATATTTTTATTTAAATAATTATTTTTTACATTATGTGCATGGAATATATATTTTACAACCTTTATTTTCTTTCATTTTGAATTGTGTAAATAATTTTTTGAATTTTTATTGTTAATACTAAAATTATTATTACGAACAAATTATTCTAATTATTTTTTTTACTATGCTCATTATTTTATTATTCCAATATTATATATGCTTAAATAATTTTTATTTTTTTAATTTATAAATAAAATTTATATATTGTATAGGTAAGTCCATAATATAAACTAAAAAGAGAAAAATCATAATATTAAAAAGTTTTAAAAAATAAAATGAAGATAAATGTTTACAATTTAGAGGGTAAAATAGGTATTTTACAATCCAAAATTTGAAAAATCTAGTTGAGTGACCTTATGAGTGCTATAGGTATACTTCAGTGACTTTGTTGTTACAAACGAAACAAAAGTGACTTTAGGAGATAATTTGGGATAGTTGAGTGACCATTTGAGTAATGGACTCTAAGTTTAAGCTAAATTGTTTTCAAATTTAAAAAGGGGTCATTCTTTTTGGAACGGGGCAAAAAGAAAATATGTTCACATAAACTACAACGGAGGGAGTATTAATTAGAATAAGA